GTGTTCCTGCCCAGACAAAGCCCTTTCTTCCTGCCTTGAGTCCTTAGCCCTGTGTGTCCTTAGTTTGTTGAGTCCTGTGATGGGAAAGAATAGTTACTGATCCTTGACTAGGCGCTTCCTTCTTGTTACCTTGGAGGACAAGGCACAGAGCTGTGAGAATGTCCCAGGTCATGTGGCTCTTAGCAGGACTGGAACCCAGTCCTGAGAGGTGCCAGCAGAGTCTAGAACCTGGAGGCATTCCTGGAGCAGGGGGAAGATGGGCCCTGCCAGTCACACAGCAGACAGAAAAGCAGGGTGGGCCCCGCACTGGCTGCAGTTCCAGGAGTTGTGGTGGGAAAGGAGCACCTTAGGTTGGGATGGAGGATCCCAGTTGTAGGAGACGTGTCTCAGGGAAGTTGGCGAACAGCAAGGGCATGGCAGGACTTGGCCGAGTGAGGCCAGTTTAGATGTATGGGGGACCCTAGCGCTGGAGCCCTATAGTGTCTGGGGTAAAAAAAAACCCTGAGCTGGGAGGGAAGACCTTGGGTTCCAGAGCATCTGGCTGGGCACCCTTGGATAAGTCATATACATGACGGACATCAGAAGGGCCGGTTACTGTGGACTTCCCCAGGGGAGCCTGCCAAGGGGCCTGGAGGGGGTCTTCAGGTGGTAGAGGGAGAGTCTGAGGATGGAGGCTGTAGTGTGGGGATGCTTCCTGAAAGAGGTAGGGGTTTTCGGGAATGGGAATGCTCCATGGGGAGGATGGGACCTGGGTCCTCATCTTGCCCTGCCAGGTGGAATGCTATGGAATATGATGAGAAGCTGGCCCGGTTCCGGCAGGCCCACCTCAACCCCTTCAACAAGGATCTGGGGCCAAGGCAGCATGAGCAGGGACCTAGTGAGGAGTCCCTGGACATTTCTTCTGAAGGTAGGTGCTAGGGGACTCTGTGGGCCCCCTGACTCTTCTCCCAGCCCACCACCTTTCCTCCCACTGCCCTCTCCAGCATGCTGGCTTTCTCCCAGAGTGGGTTCCCAAGGGCACAGTC